ACTCTCCAGCTTGAAGTATATTAAAAAATCTTGGGACGCCGTTCAGGGTCCTTTTTGGACCTTGATCTCTGAAAAACTCCTAAACCGTAAGACTTGGAGACAAAAAAATTTTTTCATTCCCGTAACTCATTGTGCCGAACAAGAGGGCCCTTAAGAGGAACAGAATTCGGGCTAGACAAGAGAGAAAGGAACATATCATCAATTATGTGTTCATAATACATAGTTTCCGGCTAATTGTTTTTTATTAAGACATGAAATGATGTTCGTTAATCGAATATTTTCTGTTTATATTTTACGTCATTTATTGATTTTCGATAGCTATTAGGGGTATCCAATTTGCTTCTAAATCTGATGTTTTTACATTATCGAAAGTCCCTTTACCAGATCAACTCGGCAAACTGACTCGATAAAACATAAACCTTTTTGACTAAACTTTCAGTGAAACACAATGGATTATGTCACTAACAAGAAAGCAAGGCTTTTTGTGAGAAAGTGTCCGGTTCCTATGGTTTTAAACTTGGAACTGTCTTTTCTTCGGAAGATTCATAGAAAATCGTTTCTTTATTATCTTCTTTATTATATCAAAAATAAACAACAGCAATAGATATGAAGACAAACCACAAAAAAAGAGAAATTACAGCTCATAGCAAAAAAAGTAGGATAACAACTAATAATGAAAAAAAGAGTAACATATATATATTTAAAAAGAAAATATATATATAAAAAATAAAGACATGTTTATTGTCTGCGTGATTTGTTTTTTGGTTGGAATAATTCGGATAAATGATCATCAAGATTATTTCGTGTTCTAAAACAGAGAATAGAGCATATCGAGAAGCAGTTAGAAGAGAATTTCTCACATACCGTTTTGTCGTTGATGATGATGTTTGATGCTGCTGTTGTTGTGGTAGTGATTGATCCTCACTTTCTTTGTCTTTATCTTCACGTGTGCTGGATGTTGGTTTTTTCTTAACCGATACTATCAAAGAGAAAGAAAAAAGTAGAGCAATTAACTCATCTTTCGATAAGAAAAGGTCTCAAAACCAGCTTCTTTTTTACCCTGTCCGGTTGCTTTGGTTTCTTTTGGAATTGGACGAGCTGCAGGAGGTGGTTCATCATCAACTTCTAAAAGTACCGTTTTGAAAGCCTTTCAAGTGTCCATTTTAGATGGAATAAAGTTCTTACCTTGTTCGCTTAATGACACTTCATCAACAATATCATAAAAACATTTACCATCACCTCTAAAAGAAACCGGAGAAATCAATTAAGTTCGGTTTGAAAGATAAGAGCAGCCACTTATACTTACAATAACCCTAAAATCATTTGTATTCTGTTTCTTGATA